TCCAACTTGGAGACGTCTAAAGCTTCTAGACTGAGCACAAATTTCTTGGAACTGGCTCTGAATGTGTATTACTGAACGTGAGTTAGCATGCAGAACTCTTCTAAGTCGCTTTTCTGAAAGTTACTATCTCCAACTATCATTTTGAAAATAAGTTATACTACCTAAAACGGTTGACTCCAATAAAGCTAGAGGATTTTCTCTCTTTGCTATCTTTTTTTGTCTTTTTTGGTATGTAGATGATATACTGATTAAGTGCCATCAAGTCATTTTTCAACTCCTAACAACCACATAGATCAGTGTTGTCCAAACTTGGCCACTTTAAGATGAGTGGACTTCAACTCTCAGAATTCTGGGAGTTGAACTGACATAGATTTCCTCCGAGATGAACTGTCCCTAACCTGGTCCTTCAAGCTTTCCAACGGTGCACTCATTGCCACTGTGACTGAGTCCATCCACCTTGCTGATGGTCATCCTCTTCTCTTTCCTTCCACTTTTCCCAGCATTAGAGCCTTTTCCAGAGATATACATGAAGGATATACACATGATGGAAAATGTACCCATGGCTACATAGCTCCATTTTATATGTTGCCTGGTTCTAGATAAGGGTAACAAAGTTAATTTCCCCTTTTGGCCTCCAAGTAACAGATGTGGACAAGGAACAGACGTGGAATGGAGCTGCTCCAACTGTCGCATTTTTACTGCTCTCAAGCTTTTTTCTCAACCCTCGTGGGCATGTGGAGATCGGGGTGAAATAATTGGAGTGAGGCTCAGTCTTCCCCAACCTGACTGGGCTGCCATTTACAATATATAATCAAAGTTTTTTTTTAATTAAAAAAAAAGTACTGGTAATATCAGCCAGCTAGCCCAAACTGACTGGCTGGGATAACAAGCCTAAGTGGAAAGTGATTGATTGGCAAGCCAGCCACAGTTCATCTTGTTCTCTGGTGAGGCATTCATGAGACTCACTCACTGTATTATATCTACATGCTCATAGTGAACACTGATTACTGCTGAAGCAAGCTCATTGTATTCCAAGTAAATGTTTTTTATTCTGACCAAACAATAGAACATAACAGTAATTTGAACTGGCAATAGTGAAATTATCATCAGCTACCTTTTCCAAACTTGAAACCTTTCGGATGTGTTGTACTATATCCTCCAGTCCTGTTGCAATGGGAACTGTATTCCAATATATCTTAACAGCACCAGGTTCAGGAAGTTTGTTGTAAATTATAAATTAAACAGAATGCACTGTTTGTAGTACCAATACACCTGCTGCTTGAATATATTCAAGACAAAAGAAGATTTAACACAAGTTAAACAGTGTCTCTCTGTAATTGCATTAGGATGTAGTATAAACAGAATGGCTAGTTTCTATACCCTAAATTATTTTTACCGGGTCCTCCCACCCCCCATCTTATTTATAGGAAGACTTGCAAATGGCTCCCCCTTGTGGATTATTAACCTCCACAAATAAAAATAAAGCACTAGCTGGTACTTCTGACCTCTTGGATTCAGACATTAAAAAGACTAATCCATTTAGTGACATGAACATGCCTTATCCAAATGTTCATGTCACAGAATCAGTGTCATGATGTGCACTGTTGTACTGTTGGCTAACAATGTTAGTGGAGAAACTGCCATACGCTCTGGATCCCTTGGGTACAGAACAGCTGCTGTCATCGGTGGGAGAAAATGCTGTTTTCCCCAGAGCTGCTTCAGTACAACTACTGATTGAAGAAGATTTCATGTGCAGGCAGCTTTTACTAGCTATTTTTTAAAGTATGAGCCCTGCTATGTTAGGAAACCAGAACATAACTTAATATGTACAGCAACTCTAACACAGTCATCTCAGTCAAAAAAGCAGGAAGACCAATCCAGTACTTTCTAGATAGTTTGATTTTGTTCTCCATAATCGCCAGCTAAATGTCATTATGAGAGCTGGACCCCAACACAGCTGGAAGGAAACAGATCAGGAAAAGTGGATTTGGGTGTTACTAGAACTCCCACATTTTGTAAACTGGTCATTTAGAATTGACAGACTAATGATGCAAGTGGTTTTTCTGACAATCTTGTTCCACAGCTAACACCAAATAACCAGCCAATGATACAAGGTTTTGTGATATTTATTTCTATATTGGAATAGCACATCTTCACTCCAAAGTAAATAGCTAACAAGATGTTTCTCTGAAATGTTTGAGAAGCAAACAGTCATCAACCTAGCATGTGATATCCTAGCATTTCAAATAAACATTTAAATCATTCAAACTCAAACTCATTGTAAGAGTTACTATAATTTTTTATGCTTAAAGTTCTGACAGGCTGCTATTAGATAGAGGTTTTGGGTTTTTTGCTTTATATTATAACTTCTTTTCCAGTTTTTATTCCACAATTGCAAAAGGGTATCCACATTTTTTTGTAATGTGTTTTAATGCTAGTTAAGAGACTAATGCACATATTCACATTAGTGGCAGCTATACTGATCTACCAACCTCAAACTGTCTTTCAATTCTCCTCTGTTCATTTATAACATTGTTTACTTCATTGTTACAGAACACAAGAATACCAATCATTTGCAAGGAAGTAATCTATAATGGATTTCATGAGGTCAGCTAAGGCAGAACAACATACAAAGAAACTGAATGATTGCTTTCTAGGAGAAAAACCTTATCTACTAGGAGATTCACAATTGCTTCATCAAGCTGATTCCTCTACTCAGAATCAACCTTGTTATATGCATTTTTAAGAGAGAGAAAATACACAGGTAGATCATACATGCAAATAAAATCTAATGATAAAATCATAAAACTTTCCAGTTAGCCCCAGATGCAACCCCCTGGTCCATATTGGAATTCAGATTAAAGCATTCCTAACAAGGAGCTGTCTGAACCCACCCAATGAACAGGAGGCCACCTCTGCCCCAAGTAGCAGGTTCTATTATCAAATTACTCCTGCAAGGAAGCTTTTCCTAACATTCCTCGGAAACCTGCCTTCCTATTGCTTAAACCCATTATGTCACACCCATCACTCTGTAGTCTTGGCCTTTTTGTCTGTGATCTCTTTTTAGGTATTTGAAGAACTTTAGCATATCCCTTCTTGATCATTCTTCTCTTTTTTTTTTTTAATAAAATTTTTTATTCTTTACAACAC